TCTGATCTTGAAATATAGTGTGCGCTATAACACTATCTACTAGACATAGATTTGATCTTGGATCCAATTAGAAAACTATCCATATCCAGATGAATATTTATATTTTTCTTCAATAAAAAAAGATATATACATTATAAGTTAACATAAAAGAATATTAAATATATAATTAAAACACATAATAAAAACATATCATTTAAATATAATGAGAACTTATAAAAACATCTTCATAATAGAATTATACTAAAATTTAACAATAAACTATTAAGAAATTTCATTGTTGAATATTTTCATTATCAATCAAATGATTAATTCCTCTTTTAGGATATACAAAAAAATCTATAATATCTTGATGTGTTATATTAACTTGGTCATGATTAAAATTATCTTGAACAAAATTTACTTTAATTTTTTTTCTTTTAGCATTCTTGATAAAGTTCAATAAGATATTTTGATATATAACAAGTACACATTTTCTATACTCCTTTTATTCTGTACATTTTTTTGTCTTTTTCTTATATCTCTTCATTATTCACCCACTTCTAATGAGTTAAAAGTATTCATCTATTTTTGATGGGTTAAAAAGATTCACCCACTTCTAGTGGATGAAGTTATACATACATTTCTGATTGGTAAAATTATTCTTAAAATTAAAATAGTGATTAATATAAATTATTATGGTGACCTCTTTCATGTCCATGACCATAATTGTTAAATGATGTCATATTTATTTCAAGAAATAGACAAATTTATGATTTTTTATTAGTAACTATATGATAACAAATTTACTTTCCAATCAAAGATCAAAATATAATATATACTACATGATTGCAAAATTCATATTAAGATTGATTTTTAGAGAATGAAAATACTAAAAAGATATTAAGTTACTTGTCTGATTTAATCAAAGATCAACCATTGAAATCTTTTTAAAATAAGAGGATGAAAACAAAATAATTGCAACGCTTACTTGATTTACTAATACTAGAAATCAAAACCCAATAATTCAAATTTTTTAAAAAATGGTGTTAATAATGTGTTATGAAATATAACTTGAATGAACGAAATTATTTAAAGGGAGTAAGAATGAGAGAATATTTAGAAAGAGTAAGAAGATCTTATTGAAGTGTGTATTTATAAATGAAATAAGAGACTAATAACCTTTTATGTAAATAAAATTTATAAATTGAGGATAATACTAAGGGATTAGATGGATAGATTAAATCTTAATTTTCATCTAATTTAATCTACATCTCAATTTAAATATACATAATATAAATAAATATGTATATAAATATTCATAATTACTTTTTCCTATTTAATTATTTAAAAATTTTAATTTTATCACTTTTTTTATTATTAAAAAACAAAAGAGCATATTTTCAGATTTTATAAAAGTTAAAAAGTGTTTTGAAATTTACGTTGAGCTTTTGTAGAATAAAACAAATATTCTAAGAGCTAAGGCCAGCACAAATGATGAAACCATGTAGACTTGTCCACGGGACAACTCACCAGGGCCATGGGCCGGTCAGGTTGATTTCGCTGGGATTTTCCAAACCAAACCTGTCTTTCTTCAACTCAATGAGATTATTTTATTATTAAATATTTATTTTTATTTAATTTAATTGTAATAAATTCTTTAAATTATTAAAATAATAATGACATTTTTAATAATGACATATAAAAAATATTTTAATAATAAATAAATTTCAAAATGAGCAATCATACTTAACTTGAAGTCTAAATTTTATAAATAGCAATTCCTCGTCTTCAGTTCATGAACATTTTTAGAATCAAGTACTATTTGGTAGTACATTAATTATATTTACTACAAATAACATATGGACACCGAATAAATTTCTTAAAAAATTAGGGTATGAAACATAGTTTCTCCAAAAAAAAAAAAGAGAATATACCGTCACAAAGTTAATTTTCTTGTCATGAAAAATAAAACAGAGGATCCGAAGAAGGCATTTTTGTTTATTTTCTTATTTTTTTTATTTGCCTTATGCAAAATTAGAGTCCCAATATTTCTAGTTGTACTATTATTTGGTGAAGAAAGAAAATAATTTTGATTTTGAAAACGAATGAAAGTGAAAAACGGCTCTTGTGGTTCGAGGGGGGAAAAGGGTACAAGATTACATTCTTTTTATTTTCAAACCTAATAATTTTTTCTTTGCAGTCAGTCGGTGGAATTAATCAGCAAAACTTTTCATGCATGCCGACCAATGAATTCGTTAAGAGACCATATTTAAATATTAATAAAGCAAGTTAAAGAATTAATGGCAATGGAGATAAGTAATAAGTTAATTCCTCTTTTAATTGGAGATAAGTAATAAAGGAAGGAGTTACTTATTACTTATCTCCATTGCCATTAATTCTTTAACTTGCTTGTAAGCGATGAGTAATAAAGGAAGGAGTTGGACGTATCCAATTTTAGTCTCTCATCGTTTGTAAGCGATGATGAAGAGGCAGACAAGGGAGAAGATCACGTCGGTTTTTTTTGTTTTTTTTAACAAAATTTGAAATAAGGTGCAATGGAGATGGCTTAGAAGAATCCTTCAACAACTTGGGAAGGTGGTCGATGTTTAAATTGTTCGAAAAACAACCAGATATGCAACCAAATTTGGCTTTGTAAGATCTGCGACATTTGCAGAGGCACACAGAGCAATCCTCGGAATGAATGGAGCATATATTCTCAACTAGAATTTGGGAGTCAATATTGCCAGATTATTGAGAGAGAGAGAGAGAGAGAGAGAGTCTTTTTGGAAACAAAAACGTGCAACCTATCAACAAGGCTCGACAAAAGTTATAACAGGAAGGATTAATAATAGACTAGAAAATTCAGCCAGGTGTAAAAGATGTCGTATGCACCAGCTCTGACTGGCGGCAATAAAAAACAGAGCAAGAGTCTGAAATAAAAGATGAAAAGGCATGTGGCATAAAAGGAGACTCAAAAGGGGGTTGGCTCGAAAAATATGTTGTGGCAATCTCTGATTACCAGGCTGATGCCGTGACATTAATGGACAATGTTCAAAATGGATGGTTTCTCTGGTTTGCTTATAACAAAATTGGCCACCCACTATTTTCTGATTTCCATCTCAGACGATGAACTCTTTGAGAAACTAAAGGAGGAGGACTGGGGTTGGCCCAATAATGGGTTCATCTTAGTTAATATTTGGTTAGAAGATTTGGTTGCAAAGAAGAGTCATAGATGGGTGATCAAGGTGTCCTTGTTCATGCATGGTGTTATTACAGCCTCTCAAACATTGCATATGTCTGCGAGGGGGGGCGGGGCGTGAGGAAATGGTGTTTCTGGATGAAAAAATTCAAGGAATTATGAAGAACTAAGTTTTGAAGGTCTGGGATAGTTTTGAATGCATTTGATGACATAACGGGAGTGGAAGCTGCAGGTAAAGCTTTCCATGTCAGGGTTAAGGAGGTCCACTCTGAATTAGAAGAGGGGGTTGCAGCTAACAATTTTCTCAAGCCACTCTGAATGAGGGTTTTTATGTGTTTCCTTCTTCCTGTTGGTTGCTTTAAGAGTGATTTTCTAGTTTTTCAAAGAAAGAAAAAAAGACAACCATGTCCATTGGCTTTCTTTTTTGATTTGAGATTCGAGGAGATTTTTTTTTTGGTCTCTGAATGCTTAGGGGTGTTTTCCATCATAAACACTAATCACAAAGTGGCCCCAAGCAATTAAAGATGACAACTTTTGATTTAACAGGCATTGCATTGCTTGCATTTGATTATTAAAACGTGGCTCGAAAAACTTCCAGTGAAAATCAAGCTTCCTTTGCCTTTAATATTAGTATGACGATGGCGATGACGATGATGCATTAAGCTAATGACTCACAACTTGTCAGATATAAACAAAACAAATTACAAGGGTTAATGTTATGATTGTCATTCTAACTCTTATATTAACATTATCCGAGAGAAAGAAAAAGGAAAAAACTCTCGTATTAGCAGTTCAAACATATAGATGTGCCACCCCAAATAATAATTCTAATAATTCTAAACTGCAACATCAGCAAACTATTCTATAAAGAGAATTAGTATATAAATCTCAGTCAAAGTGCCATTGCGTGTGCATAATGTTTGTTTAGAACATTTGGTAAGATGATGCAGCGCCAATGTGGACCATCAGCTTGCATATGAAAAGGGCAAGAGGATCCTACACGAATGGTGGGCTTGAAATTTTGTTTTCGAATTAAGGAAGAAAATCTGATCTCCACCCAACTATTTCCAAAGTCAATCACTTAATCCGTCCCGTTTAGACATGTTGCAAGTATGCATTGCAGTTTTGAATGTACAAAGGATGCTTACACACGTCAATTTGAAGTTAGGCAGGAGTTTTGACTTGGTAGTCTTTCATTCCTTGCACATCCTCCTGAAAAATTGAGGCTCCGTGGTAAGATTCCAAGTTAAGCAGCAGAGGAGGACCGTGACGACACTCAACAAAGAATATAACAAGCTCATCACTGCCCCAACCACCTCTTCTGGCATAGTGATGAAAATTGTATTGATCCATCACCCACCATCCCACTAGGGAAATGCAATATTCACCCAAGTCACTACACCGATATGTAAAATTGGGACTAGGCATCATGCTGTTTGCGACATGAACTCTTCTGCTTAGATCTCAAAAAGCACAACCCAGTGCAATTGTGGACTTAAATCAGATCCTTTTATTTTGCCAAATGCTGTTGAAGGCTCTTAGAGCATATGGGAGCCTAGGCTAGATCAGATTCTGTTGAATACAAACAATGACTTGGGCATAAAATTCATCATGAACAACTTATCTCTTCAATACTAACTCATGTACAATGTAGCTGAGGCTGACATCCAGTAGCAACAATGAGGTCATTAGCATGCAGGTTGCTCAAGTTTCAAATCCAAATTGAATTGTTCTACTAGATCATGGAAACTAGCACAGATAGCTCATTTTCATATTTTAAAGAATGCTTCTCCCTGTTCTTGCACCATTTCTGTCCAAACACTACTCCAGAAACAATCAAACACATTTATTCTCTGGAATGAGTAAAAAATTTTTCATAACTATTAAAACCACAATACTACAACATCAAATTACTGACAATCTAATTGACATTGCCTACGTGAATAGTTTTTAAGAGAATAGCAGCGTCTTTGCTCCGCTACTTCAGCACCATACCTCTCTTTCAGAGAATCACAAACCTTCTGCTCTTCTTGAAGCCCAAGTTGCAACTTTTCTAGCTTCTGCAAAATAAATGCTTCATGAGTGCACCTCCAAATAACTTAAAACATCCATAACATCAAAGTAGGTTAAACTCCTTTACTAGTTTCTGTAGGTCATGGAACTGTTCACTTTAACTCTTCCATCATTTCGGTTAATGAAGTACAAGTTCCATGCTTGATATGATTTTACTGAGCAATTATAAATTAGTAGAGATTAAATAATTACCATGTTTATTTTTAATTTCTCAAAGTAAAAGATAAGACCATGAAAAAAGAAAAACAAAACTTAAAAGCTTTCTCATAATTAATTAGCAATCATCACCCAACTGTAGCTGTAACTTTCAATAGGTGAAAGTTCACAAAACTACCTTTTTCTTGTTAATACTAATGATGCATGATGGTCTTTTTTTGTCAATTAGAAATACAGCGTATAAAAATTTAAAATAAAAAGGAATTAAGAAAAGAAGCACACTTAACTAAGGGATGCCCTTTTAGTAATTTCTCCTTTCAAGGCATGCACATAGGTCTACCTAGGTGCAAAAGGCATGTGCAAGACAGTTTTCTTAGATTACACTGGGCCTTGAGTACACTGGCAAGATAATCAAGAAAAGATTAACCTTTTCTCCAACATTTTAAACAGTATAATTTACAGGGTCCTATATAGTTAGGAGGCCACAAATGTGAAAACACGTTGCAGTTTCCAGGCCATACAAGCAAAATAGAAGGCTGAAATTATAGGCCCCACTGATCGTGTTGATGCCAGTGAAGTGATTTGTTTTCTTGAAATTGAGGCTGTCTAAGCAATATGAACTTTAATTGCTAGAGATATGGTTCGGGGATTTTGTGGAAGTTGGTTTTGGGATTGGGTTGTTACGCACATATTTGGATTTTCGTACAAGATTTCTTCTGTCAAGTTCTCGGTGATGGAAGAATTATGAGATGCTTGGTTGATGGGAAAAGTGGAGGAAAATGAAGGAAAATTACGGGCTTTGATTCTCTTTCATTCTCTCAAAGCTTCATTTTTTTCCTCTCCCTCTATGATTCAACAAAACAAAAGGTTATCACTACCTTGGTTATATATTAATCAAGAGATGGTAAGCCAGATGGAGGATCCCAAGTTTACCATGTATTGGAAGTATTACATGTCACTACCATTTCAACTTACAATGGCATCCATGTCTGAATGTTAGTTAATTTATTTGATCGGATTAAATTTCAGAGTACATGGGCCTGATTAATCCATATCAAAGTAAATTTTGAAGTGAACATTTTGCACTAGTACAAGGACCAAATGGGTAGCTCAACAAACCAAAAGATGAAACAAAATGAGCATGAGCAGTATATCCTTGCTATTTTCCTACTTGCTAGCAAGGAAGGTGACAATTACCTGTTGGCTGCCCTTTACAATTCCCTCCATGGACTCAAGTAATTTCATGCGACCAGCAGGGCTAGCAATGGCATCCTGAAACTGTAGGGAAGGTGAGAAACTATCAACTGATAGACAACAGCAAAGTATCAAAGAAAAACTGCATTCAATAGAAGAATCTCCATCTAATTAGTAGCAAATTAGCTGAAGCAGAAATTAACACTAAGAACAGCACTGCCTTTTTAGTTGCTAGCAAAGCAGTGTGAAGGAAATAAAAGCAGGCACAATTTATTAAGACTCAGAAAAAAAAAATGAAAAATGAAACCCATAGATTTTAGAGTTGCAAGGCAGAAGCATAACAGACATAATGAACAAATGCAGAAATTTCACTCATTTGAGTTAATACCTGTGAGCTTATGGAATTCAGCAAAGAAGTTTCCTTTAGCATCAACTCTTTAATCTCCAAAAGAGCATTATAGGTAGCATAGAATTTTCGAGTCTGTTGAAGTTTTTCCTTTAAAATAGCAAAGAGCAATATCAAGTTTTAGCAGAAACAGAGCTAATAAGGGCTGAACATAAGAACAGAAAAATAGGCCAAGCAAGGGTTTGCAGATCAAAATCACACACCTGAATATGAGCATTCAGCTCTGAAAACCGGCGTTCATACCTGCAAAGGATGGCTGAATCAACATTGAGTATTACACTTATTACTTAAATGCAAAAAGATGAAAGTCTGAATTGTTTTCTTGTTCTTGTTGTCAATTTTCCCAGAGGAATGAGACATTGATAAGGAATCATCTACAGAACTAGAACTAGATTGATTGTATGGATAATCTCACTGGTAGTGCTGAATGATAAAATATATATAACCAGTAGAAAGAAAAGTTTAATTCAGCTATTGGTTGAATTGGTTTCTGAATGTTAACTATAGTCTTCTGTCCTTAACAGTAAATGCTCAAATAGTCACAAGTTATAAACATCAAATTACATAACATTGAGTACAACAACTCACGAATAATCACCAAACTCCATTGTGTACAAACAACCTAAGGAATATCAAAGACTTTAAGGCCTAAAACTTGACGAGCAATATGAAAAGAAAGGTGAACATACTGGATTAGTTCTGATTGGGAGGGCATATCATCCAGCTCCCGCTTTACCGATACTATTGCCCTTAGTCTAGCTGCAAGTTCCTATGACCCAAATATATGAATATTGTTAGTAACTATTTAATTATTTACATACTTAAAAGGAATTAAGAATCTTTGAAAATTGAGATATTTTACCTTCTTCGCGGAATTAAGCTTGCGCAATGATTCATTTAAAGAATCATCTAAACCATGAGAGAGCTTCTCGCCATCAGACCCTGTTGCTATCATTTCCTCCAAATCACTAACCTCAGCTTCCAATGAAGAACGTTTTGCATCAAAATCAGACCTAATTTGGGATTCTTGTCTTTCCAGTGTCTGGAAAAAAGTTTTAATAATCATAACTGGTAATTGCCAACCAATGAAAACAAACGCAAAAGATCAATGGACTATTGAATCTCACATTTGTTAGAAAAATAAAATTTTGTTTTTTGTTTTGAAATTGCATATTAATCAGAAAAAAATGAACAAAAATATAAATGAGGGGAAAAGTTTAAACCTTCAATGTCTCCAAAACGGATACAAATTTCAGCACTTTGGCATCAGCACCTTGCTTTCTAATCCTCTCTTGTAAATTTTGTAATTCATTGAGAAGGCTAACCTTTCTTTGGTTCTGTATTATTAAATAGGCCAAAAGGGGAGGGGAATTAATCGATTCATCCATAAAAATAAGGAATAAAACGAACAACAAAGTTCACAGCTTTGGAAAATGAGTAACCTGTTGATCTAAATTTGAGTTCAATATCTCAATCGAAGCTCTTGCACTGTTCAATTCCTGCTCCTTGCTGCCTTGTTGCATTGTTTAGGATCCGCTATGGATGATGACTCTTGCCTCGGACTCAGCCTTTGAGTGGGGTGTAGCTTGACTCGGTAGTCAAGCGACTTTCTTTTCTTCTTTTTGGATCGGAAATATGATCTGTTACTGTTGGACCGTTTTTTCGCGAGAAAAGATGATGATGTTAGTGGGCTCTCATTTAGAGATTTTGGGTCTTTTATGGGCCCACTCAATGCAGTTTGGCCCAAAACTGCTACTTAATATATAATTTTATCTATCATTATTATTATTATTAACAGCCTTTCTAGCTTTTTTTTTTTTTTCAAATTAAAAGCTATTATGAATCTCTTATGAAAATAATAACTTTTAAAATTAAGCTAAAGTTGTTTGATAAGCAGTTTGGTAAAATAAATTATATAAGATCTAATTTTGATTAAAATTACCATAAAAAGTATTTATATTATCTTCAATTACCTAATAAATCAAAGTGGAATAAGTCTGCTGTCAACTTATATACGATCTAAGATTGATGCTCAAATCAAAGAAATTCATATAAAAATAGAACAGTCCTCAAATTTTGTGTAGTAGTAATAATATTATATTTTTGTTGATCTAGTAAGTAATCGAATTATGATACTTTAATTCCCCAAGAAAGAAGAGAAAAGAAGAAACGATATATTTGACATTAAAATATTTTTTGGTGAAGAAGAGAGAAAATTTTTAAATAGTATTTGAATGCAGCTTTGAATTTTGAGTTTTATTTTTCTTAATTTTTGTAAAAATAAAAAAATATCAAATTTTACTATTCTATTGCTAGATGTTTTGTTTTGTTTTTTTTAATAGTCTTTGCAGAAAGAGAGAGGTAAAGGATAAAAAGATTGTAATTTGCATTGAAAAAATGTGATTTGCAGAGGAAGAGAAAAGAGAGAGAGATCAATTGAAAGAAAGGGTATTCTTGAAAAACTAGCATGCTTTTAAAAGAAGAAAAAAAAAAAAAAGCTCATCTCTACAGCTTTTCTTTAGGCTCTTTTTTCTTTTTAAATTTTGTTCATTAAAAACAACTACTGATTCTTTTCAAAAACTTCTTAAAATCTTGTTTATATTATAACTTACTACATTATATCAAGATTAATATTATATATTACAAACATGTTTCTCATACATGCAAAAAGTCATTAACTTTGAATTATACCATTGCTGTAACTCTGTAGCTATTATCTTAATTAACCAGACTCTTATCTTTCATGGTTTAAAGTTGATCTCTAAATTAAAATCTTATAAATCAACTCTATAAATATTTGTTACAAATAAATAAGCTTAAAGTAAAGCAATAAAGAGGGGTAAATTGGTTATCAAATAATTTTTTTAAAGAATTTTCAACATAACTGAAGTATAAAGAGTAAACTTATAAAAATAGAGTATAAGCTAAACAAGTAAAGAGTATTCAATCAAGTTTTCATAAAGTTCGACTTATGATGCCTACATCCTCTCCGTTGATAGCACAAAGAGTTTGAATCCACTATTAAGTTGTCTTTTAACACAAGATCATACTTAATCTTTACAATTGAATGTCTTTAAAGATCAAGTACAACTTCAACCAA